GGACCCTGGGATCATGACCTGAGCCGAAGGCAGATGCTTAACGACTGAGCCACCCAGCCGCCCCTGTTTTCCATCTTTTTATCTGTTTTTCACTTTCTCGAAATGCTGATTGTGTGCTGAAGGGTGCCAGCGAAGAGAAACCATTATACTGATCTATTGTGACTTTTCTCTGTTCGTTCTGCTGTTTCTTTCATCTGACCAGGTTCCCAGCTGTCTGTATGACAGAGGGTGTGTGTGGTGGGGTACAGTAGAGATACGGGAGGGACTCTCGATGGTCTGCACTCCAGGCTCTGAGGTGGATAGCATCTGAATGGCCTGTGGTGGGCATTGAGTGGGCAGGGAGGGCAGGGAGGACTGTGAGTGGGGCATGCGGGTTACCTCTGTCCTTTATACTGGAGTCATTTTACTTTGATTTAACTTCTTAGACTTGGGAGACCCGCTACATGCTTTTACTGTGGCTCTCTGTGACCTGCCTGATCCCTTTTGATTTTTCACGCCTTGACGGGAACCTCCTCACTCAACCTGGGCAAATGCGAATGTCTGTAATGGACCGTATTCTCCAAATAGCAGAGGTAAATGTGATCATCCAAATCATTAGCTGCTAAGTAGTGTTCTTTTTCATTCTCATGCTGTCTTATATTGGAGTTTAATTAGGTACGCTTTTGACATTTATGTTTCTTCAACTGCTGTTACTGTTTTTCAGTGAGGTAAAATTCCATTTCATGACCTATTTTGAAAGTGTGATAATTCATGTAGGGGAAAGGATGAATTACTTAGCAAATTTCCTTTCTTTGTAGATAGTGCAAATACTCTGTTAAGCATAATAATGACATATAAGAGATTTCAGGGGGCAGTTGTAAGAGAAAATAAAGGTCCATTTTAAATTTGATTTTTAATGTTATATAAATAATACATGATCAGTGTAGAAAAATTAGAACGTGAAGCAAAGCAAGAAAGATATTAAATCGAAGTCCCTCAAATTCTAGTGCCAAGAAGTAATAACGCTTGTATATTTTTTCAAACTTTTTGTGATGCAATAATTTGTCTATATGCATAATATTTGTATTACCCCAAACTTGAGTGGTTTAGCACAACACACATTTATCATCCCACAGTTTCTGTGGGTCAGGAATCTGGGTGTGACTCTGCAGGGTAATCTGCATCACAGTCTCCCCGGCTGTAGTCAAGGCTCGCCTTGAGCAGGGTCTGCCTCCGTGTTGTCATGGCAGTTGGCAGAAGCCAGACTCTTGAGGGTGTTGGACCGAGGGCTTTAGTTCTTTGCTGGATGTTCCTTGCCGTGTGGCCCCCTCTACCTGGCAGCATATTCTCTCGAAGCCGGCAAGGGGCAGGGTCTGCTAGCGAGACAGAAGACGCGATAATGTGTCACCAAATCACAGAAGTGGCCTCCCACCCCTTGCCAGATTCTCTTGGTTAGAAGCCTGTCACTGTGTCCAACCCAGACAGGAGGGTTACACAGGATGTAACACCAGCGGTCCACTGAGTACCTGCCATGTGCCAGACACCATTCTGATCATCTTTTGTATGGTGACTCACATAAGCCTACTGAGGTTTATGTCTTAATAAGGCAGTTTACTTTTTTTTTTAAATATTATTTTTAAAGATTTTATTTATTTCAGACAGAGAGACTGAGAGAGAGCATACATGAACTGGGGGGGCGGGCAGAGGGAGAGGCAGACTCTCCACTGAGCAGGGAACCCGATGCGGGCAGCCCAGGGTCCTGTGATGCTTAACCAACTAGCCACGCAGGCGCCCAGTTAAAAAAAAATTTGTTTTTAAGATTTATTTATTAGAGTGCGCATGTGCGTGGCAGTGGGTGGCAAAGGAGAGAGAGAATCTCAAGCAGGCTCCAGGCCCAGTGCCACAACCCTGAGATCATGACCTGAGCCGAAATCAAGAGTTGGATGCTCAACTGATGGAGCAACCTAGGCGGCCCTTAAAGATTTTTTTAAAAATAATAATTTAATTTTTTTTTTTTTTTAAATAATCTCAATAGCCAATGTGGGGCTCGAACCCACAACCCCACCACGTTCCACCAGCTGAGCCAGCTAGGTGCCCTGACAGTTAACTCTTTTTTTTTTTTTTTTAAGATTTTATTTATTTTTTAGAGAGCGAGCGAGAGAGAAACAGCATGAGAGGGGTGAGGGTCAGAGAGAGAAGCAGGCTCCCCGCTGAGCCGGGAGCCCGATGCGGGACTCGATCCCAGCAGCAGGCTCCCCGCTGAGCCGAAGGCAGACGCTTAACCATCTGAGCCACCCAGGCGCCCCCAGTTAACTCTTTTTATCCTCATTTTACTGAGGGGGCGATAGTCAAAAAGAAAAAGTAACATAGCTGGTTCACTTTATCATAAAGGGTAGATCCAGATTTGAAGCCAGGCAGTTTGGCTTGTGGCTTGTCACCACACTCCGTGCGGCCCACTTGGTGCAAGCGCCTTTGGTGCCCTGCTGTCCCGCGAGCTGCTTTTTCCCTGGCAGTGTACGTTGAACGTCTTATGTCTGAGTACATGTCCTCTCATAATCTTGAAAGGGAAAGGTGCTCCACTGAACCCTAATTTTAAAATATTCTCTTGGGGCGTCTGGGTGGCGCAGTCGGTGAGTGTCTGACTCTTGGTCTTTCAGCTCAGGTCATGATCTCAGGGTTGTGGGATCAAGCCCTATGTCAGACTCTGCTCAGTGTGGAGTCCGCTTGAGATTCTCTCTCTCCTTCTGCCCCCGCCCTCCCCACGCACGGGTATGCACACACTCTCTCTCTCTCAAATAAATAATCTTAAAAAAATTCTCTTATAGATGGATGTTTAGTTTGTTTCTGATTGTGTTCTGTGAGAAGTAGTACGGTGATGAACCACCTTTACGTACCGTTTGTGTATTTGTCTTGTAAATGGGACTGTCAGGTGAGTGGCTGTACATTTCTAAAGGTTTGGCACTGATTGTCCCCCAGAGAAAAGATCTTTTGTGTATGTATCATTTGGAAAAACCTTAGTTGAGATGAGAATTGGGAACTTCTTAAGGCAAGCCTCCAAAGAGAAGCTAGTCATTTGTTTTAACCCTGGGTCCTCTTCTGTTTGAGTGGGGCCTCCTAACTGTTCTCTATACTAACATGTTGACAGGTCCCAAGTGTGCTTTGTGGACACTATGATTTTTTTTTTTTAAAGATTTATTTATTTATTTTAGAGAGAGAGTGAGAGAAAGAGAGAGGGGATGAGCAGGAGTAGGGGCAGAGGGAGAGGGAGAATGTCAAGCAGACTCCCTGCTGAGTCAGACACTCAAGGGACTGAACCAGCCATGTACCCCTGTGATTCTTTGTTACAGCTGGGTGACACATATGTGTTTCATTTTTCTGTTTTTACACGTGTATTTCAAGGGGTCTGGCCACATGCCATGTGCAACTAGGCATCTGCCGGGTGGTGAGCACAGCATTTGGCTCTTGCTGGCAAGGAGTCTAGGGGTGGTTTGTGCAGCTTTGGAATTGGGCCTCTGCCTAGAAGCTTCATGACCTGGCTTCTCTGGGAGCTGCTGCATGTGCGACTGGCTGGTGAGTGGGTCCCAGAGATTTACATGGTGTGTGTAACGGTGCCTGTCCTTGATCCTTTCTTCTAGGCCTACTTGGTTGTCAGTGACAAGGCCCGAGATGCCGCTGCTGTCCTTGTGTCCAAGTAAGTACCTTGTGTTGGACCCCTCACAGCTGTGTTGGTTGATATGTGACTGGTGGGTTCCGAGAGTGTTTGTCTTACATACTCTTCTGCATTCCCTGTGTTTCTGTGTTACCTTGGAGCCTCCTCCACACCGGGCGGATGGGCCTGGGAAAGTCTTTCCTACTGCCCAGTATGTGTCTCTTTCTTTGAGGGAGCATCGGCTCTGTTTGGCTGCAGACCTTTGAACCTGAGAGTGCTGGGCTAGGGGCTCATGGAGGTCACCTGATGGGCCTGTCAACAGAGTGCAGATTTAGAACAGGTGTAATAGTTATACCTGGGGCAGAAGCTTACCTTTGGGGTGGTGGCAGTTAGGTGAGTCTTTAAAGGTCGCTTCGAAAGCAGTTAATGCTGTGGTTTATGGAGATCATGAGCTTGATTGGGTCATTGTGGCTTGGGATAAAAATCCCCAAACATTCTCTGTTGACTGAAAAACAGGCTGTGCCTCAAACACGTGAACATGGCTTTCTTAGTCTGATGAGCTCGGTGAGCTGACCCAAACAGTGGCCCCGGTGTCTCTGAAAAAATGCAAAAGACGTGTGTGAGAGCTATGTAAGCTTGTTTCATGAAATGCGAAAATGGAAGGAAACAGTTTTTCTACATTAATCTTTTGTAGGAATGTGACTTAAAATAAGTGTATTGAGTAGATAAATGGGAATATTTGGCTTTTCCCCACTCTACATTTGTGAAAGTTGAAAATGGGCCGTAAAAACTTTTGGATATTTTGATTGGGAAAATGGGCAACACTTCATTCAGGGTCCCCTTATACTTAGGTGTATAGCCATGACCTTCCACAAAGTGGTAAGAGAAACCCTTAATTTGTAGGGCAGTGGGGGCACTTGCTGCACCATAGGGCAGAGCTTGGATAGAAGAGCTGATTTCAGGTGTGAGGGGAACATGTGAGCCCACCTGCATTGCTTCACCTGGGGGACAGAGATACTCACTGGACAGAGGTTTCTTGTGATTAAAAAAATGAGTTTCTGGGATGCCTGGATGGCTTGGTTGGTTGAGCGTCTGCCTTCAGCTCAGGTCATGATCCTGGGGTCTTGGGATCGAGCCCTGCATTGGGCTCCCTGCTCAGCAGGGAGTCTGCTTCTCCCTCTGCCTGCCCCTCCCCCTGCTTCTGTGCAAGCTCTCTCTCTAATAAATAAAATCTTTAAAAAATAAAAGAAAAATAAAAAAATGAGTTTCTTTTTAATTCTAAGAGTAATCTTGTGTTTTGGAAAATAAAGAAACGTATAAAGTACAAAATCCACGTGTACCTTCATCCCCCAGAGATGTACCTGCTCCTGCTTTTCATCCCGATGCTGTCCGTTGGTGCCACAGCTCTGTCTGTGGGCATGTTGGTGCACACGCTGGTTGTACCGGCTACCAGCAGATGGGCCTGGAGCTTTAATCAGTCTTTTTCTAGAACACTGTTACGGTGTGAATATACTACTGTTTCTCCAGTCCCCTGTTGGACGTGTAGACTGCTGCCTGCTACTTGTTAGTAAAATCAGTGCCATCATGAATGTCTTACATAAAACTTTGTGCCGTTCGGATTGACTCTTAGAGATGAATTCCTGGAAGTGGAATGGACATTTTAGGGGTTTTAAATGCAATTACTGGAAAGGTTGCCTTTCCCCTATATTTACCAGTACTATGTGAGATCTTAACGCGTTTGCCAAATTTGTTAGGTGAAAAATTGTTTTTATTATTTTTTATTACCAGCAATACTGAGGGTTTGGTAGAGTTATGCTGAGTTTGACTTTGTGGAGCACCACCCTTTGGGGGCTGGGGAGGTGAAGCCCTAAACCTTTGTTCCCTCCCTGATGTCCTCCAGGAAAGGGGACCTGGGAACAGATCCAACCACTTGGCGGGACTCTCCTGCACCATCTAGTGGTCAGGACGAGTAAGCATTTCGCGTGGTTGAGGCTGGTTTTCAGCGCATTAAAAATGCCCTAGCCAATTTGCCAGGCTGTAGATGCATCCTGATGCTGTGTAGCCAGGTTCTCAGAATGTTCCAGAATGGGCATAACTTTAACTGCACTGGCCGAGCATCTTCTGATACACTGGGCAGTGGCTGTTCTGAGGGAGGAGAGGGCTCTGGGTGGGAGGGCTTGTGGCTGGGATGAGAGCTTCCCGCAGGGTTGCCGAGGCAGGTGCCGGAACCAACTGAGTGCTGCTTCGTACGTGATGCAAACACAAAGAAGTGGGCCAGCACGTCGTAAGACGGGTTTCTGCAGCATTAAGTGAAGAGTGCCACCACGTGTGTTCCCTGGGGGGCAGCTGAAGGGAGTGTGAGGTCCTGTTTCCTGACACTCTCTGGTCCCATGTCTCCTTGGGAGGGTGTCCCTGGGCCTCTCTTGGAGGCTGCACATTTCCCACCCTCTGTCTCTTCATGTTCTTTGCTTGTTTCCTGTGTTTCTGCCCCCAGAGTTGAAGCTTTCCTAGGAGAGGATGGGCCCAACCTGAGCCCCCAAGTCAGATAGCATGTAGACTGGCTAGAGAGGAATAAAGGGGGCCCCAGCTTTGGTGTGGGGGCTCGGGGGTGGCTGCCAGCTTAGACCAGCATGTAAAAGAGTGGGCAGGATCCAGTATGTGCCATCCCAGCTTCCAGAGAGTGCAGAGCTGAGCATATGTGGGCTCTGCATGGGGCTGTGCAGCACTGGGTCGAGGGGGTGGGGGAAAGGAAGACCCATGGCAGAGATGAATTTGGGCCAAGGAAAGGGACGGGCTGAGTAGTAGGTGTTGGTGGGTTTCCTGGGCAGTGGTGGGGACGGGTAAAGGTGGTCCTGCAGTGTAGGGGGCCTCAGGATGAGTGGGAGCCCAGGAGGGAGGAGACGAGGGTGGTGGGGCCTGTGTATGACCTCAAAGAGGTCATGCTGGGGAATGGCCACCTGATGGTCTGGGTAGTGTCTTGGTGTTTCAGATTGGAGAGTCCATCTTGAAAGAAGGACATAATTCACAATGCAGGACATTCACAATCTGAGGACAGATGTCCTGGCATGGAGACTTCTCTTGATGGGAGGATGTGGTGGGCCAGAAAGGGGTGAGCTCTCTTCAGTTGGAGCCTTGGTTGAGCTATCAACCTGCCTGTTTGTTTCCTTCTGGCAGGTTTGTCACACGGCCTGATGTCAAGCAGAAGAAGATGGCAGGTTTCCTGGACTGGAGCCTGCACACCTTGGCCCGCTCCTCCTTCCAGACCATCGAGGGGGTCATTGCCATGGATGGCATGCTACAGTCCCTGGTAAACACTGCTCCGGGGGAGGGGATAAGTTCTCTTCACCTTTGAGTCCATTCTGAAGTAGCTGGAACATAGTAAGAGACCATTAACCCTAGGAGCACAGTACTGCACCTTAAAACCCAGGGTTGTCCTTGGATTGTCAGCACTGGGCTTTCTGCTCCAGTGAAGGAGATGGCCTGAGCCAGCCTGGTGTGTCGCCACCAGGGGGCAGTGGTGTCCACAGAGCTGGGGCGGGCAGGCGTGCCGGCGGGCAGGCGGGCAGGCGGGCAGGGCATGTCCTCTTTGGGTTTCCTGCTGCGTAGTTGTGTTACAGAGTATAATTATCGGAACAGACTCTGATGAAATAAAGCAGGTGATTTGACATTTGATTTTGTTCAGCTACTTGGGTTAGGGTGTTAGTAACAAGTGTGTTAAACACAAAAAGGCGCCTGCCCACAGAGTGCACCGGTTGGTGCCCTACCTCCAGCCCTTTCCACTCTCTGCTTCGTCTGTCTGTTGTGTTGCCTTTTTTTGTCTTTAAGATTTTATTTATTTGAGAGAGAGAGCGAGAGTGAGAGAGCACGAGCAGGGGGAGCAGCAGGCAGAGGGAGAGGGAGAGGCAGGCTCCCCGCAGAGCAGGGAGCCCAACGCGGGGCTCGATCCCAGGACCTTGAGATCATGACCTGAGCCGAAGGCAGATGCTTAACAGACCGAGCCACCCAGGTGCCCCTGTGTTGCCTTTTCTAGTCCTAATGAGGAGGACAGTTCCCAGAAGAGGGGAGGCTGCTGAGGCCCTCATGGTCCTTGGGTGTTGTGGGCATGGTACCTCCTCTCTGCTCTTTAATTGCAGCGGGTGAGACTTGGTTCTTGGCCTTGTTTCTGAAGCTGTAGAGGCCCATGGCCCACTTTCTGGAGAGCAGGGCATTTCAGACTGTGTTTAAATGGAGACATTTGGACCCATGACTCAGTGTGACATCATTTTCTCGGGTGTTATCCCATGTGCTGGCTGTTGACAGGTGGGATGAGGTATAAGAAGTCATGAGGGTCAGTGAAAAGTGGGGCTGATGGTGTTATCACCCAGGGCAGTGGGCACAGGATGTGGGAGGAGAGGAGATGACAGCCAGGGCTGCCTCAGGGCCCTGGGGAAAGCCCTTTCTCACTGTACACCCTGTCCTGGGCACTTAAGGTACAGACCGCCTGGCCCCTCTCAGGAATGTTCTCGGCATCTGTTTCTTTCCATTTGTGTTGCTGTTGTCTTTAGGAAGGACAGCCTTTCAAATGATGAGAATATTTCAAGACATTTTATAAAGAAACCTGGAAAAATAGAACATTTTCTGAATTCCTGTGGTCTGTTGAGGTGCTGTTTTTTTTCCTTTCTTCCATTCTGTAAATGAACGTGATATGTTGTGTACTAGTTCTTAAAAAATATTGAGAGAGGGGCGCCAGGGTGCCTTAGTCGAGTGTCCAGCTCGATTTTGGCTTAGGTCATGATCTCCTGGGTTGTGGGATCAAACCCGTTTTGGGGCCTGCGCTCAGCAGGGAGTCTGCTTCTCTCCTTCTCCCTCTCTCTTTGTCCCTCTCCCTGCTCAGGCATGCGTGTGCGTGTGCGTGTGTGTGTGCGTGTGCGCCCAGGCGCGCGCACGCACGCTCTCAAATAAATAAATTTTTTTTTTTAAGATTTTTAATTTTTTTTTAATTTA